CTTCGGTTTTTTCTGGGGCTAAGGACAATTGAGCAGAACATAGCTGTGAGTCCCCTGGTCTTAACCTTTCAAGTCCCTGGATCGCCTGGCAAAGAGCGGCCCTGCCCAGGGCAATCATTCTTATCTTCTCTTCATTTCAAATTGTTTAGTTTTTATGGAGCGATCTCGTTGTACGTACTTTTAGAGTCAACTCCAAAGATCTCGATGTTTGTACTTTTATACATTATTCTAGATAAGTTGTGAACTGATATGCTGTAATGTTAACTAAAGGGGAGAGGGAGGGGAACAAAATGTAAAAACCCGAGAGGGTATACATGGAAAATAAACTAACTCTAAGGAAATGCAATTCGTGTTGAAGAGCAAACACTCGAAAATCAGAGTTGCACAGTGGAACGAGCCTCATTACGTATCATCCTCAGCGGGGGTCATCATGTTCGTTACAGTAGGCGATTAATTCGAGGATGCATCACGATTAAAAGTAAACTACTTGGTACAGATAAGTGGAAATACTAGGGCGACCATGTTCAACGTTACACGACACACCACCCAGGGAAATTGATGAGGTCTCGAGTCTGATTAGAGAACCTCCTGATTGCAGCTAAATAGAGTGAGATTAACTGATGATTGTAGTCGTGTGGGGATCGACAATTGCTGGATCGCAGCATTATACCGTTCAGACAATTTGTAAGATCAGAATAGTCGAAGTTTGCCTGTTCTTGGGGGCGTAGGGGGGAGGGAGGGGGCGGTTCTGATGAATTGGAATGGGATTGTTCATCTCGTGATTTAATGATGAGCATCGATCGGCAATAATAATTACTTTAGTAATCTTAAGAGGAGTTTACCTTAAAATAATTAACGTTCACGAATTTTCATTGAAATGTGGAAATAATTTTAATCTTCGATCGACTATTAAACAATTTAGTAGCAAAGTGGTAAAACGGTGTAAGTCGACTCATCTCCCATTTGAGTTTTTGATGAATATTTCCGAATCTAAGAGAGATAGCGAAATTTTCGTAATTACATTTGTTGTAGCAGTGAATCGGCTCTACAAAAAAGCTTATAATAACGATTTTGCTATCACCCTTAGATTCCGAGATATTCATTGAAAACTGGCCGATAGTCAAAATTGACTTGTATCGGTTTACCACTTCGGTATTGAATTAATTCTAAAGTTCTGAAATGGATTTGTTGACTGAACTTGATAATCGTTAATCTTTGGAACTCAATTGCTATGAATTGATTGATTTAGTGATAAGCAGGGATCGGTAATAATAATTACTCTAGTAATATTAAGAGGAGTTTATCTTAAAATAATTAGAGTTTACGAATTTTCATTGAAATTTGAAAATAATTTCAATCTTTGATTGACTATTAAAGAATTAATTCTCAAGTTCTGAAATTGATTTTTTGATTGAACCTAAGAATCGTTAATCTTTGACACTCAATTGTTAATTTATGAAATTGTTGAAAATTTGAAAAATTTGATTGATGATTAATTTACTAAAAATGTGAAATTAAAATGTGAATTTTTATTCAGACGTTATAATTATTCCGAAATCTGGTGTTGAATGAAGAGATGATCGATGAAATTCGTTATTCTAATGAATTGTGAGTATTGATTCCTCAATTTTGCTTTGAGAGAAAATTAAAATTCATTCATTTTCACTGGGATTGGAAGGATTAATGAAAAGTGCTGCTTTGCATTGCAAATTAATTCATTATGAGTGCGTAAATAGTTTTAAAAATTGACCTTCCACGGTTCAATATTTAACGGGTGGAAATAACGGCCGGGATCACGGTCACTGGCCATCTGGGCGAAGGATTTAATCCGCTCGTGCACCGCAGCGAATAAATTGGAATATTTTAATTTTTTAATCCAAAATACATGGACGGTTTACGGTTCAGAGAATCTATCCTGTAAATACCGGAGGTTCGTGTTATATTTTTTCAATGAGATAAATCCCTGCAAAATGAAAGCAGTCACTCTAAAAACTCGATATCATCGGGGAAAATGTGCTGCTGACACTTGACTACTTTTATTCAGTTCAATATTTAGGCATTACGTGCTAAAATTTTCAATATTTCAGTTCGTTTTCATTATGTTATCTCTACAATAAATGATTTGCTCATGTTCTAATTCCTACGCTCACTGAATAAGATTTTAATCATAATTACAATTCAATTCCTTCTAGAACACATTCTGGAGTGTGAATTTCTGGAATTCAATGTTTGTTGATACTCTGGTAAAAGTGCGTGCCCACACTGCTATCAATTTTTAGTTAGTTCACACGGTAATTCAATTAATCTGTTGTTCACCTCATCAATATAATTCCGTGCTTAGAATATTGTCATCTCGTGATTTCACCACCAAATTAAAAATTAAAACATCATTTGGAATATTGAGTCACAGCTTCTTTTTATTCATATCACAAGTTTTGCATTTGGATATTAATACTATTTGTTCAAAGTGAAAAAATCGATCATCATTTTCACTATATTGCATTCAGATTCTCCTATCCTTAACGTCAAAAATGTGAGATAATCTCATAATTCTAGCTATTAATTCTAATCAACTTTGTTCGAAGAAAACCTTAGTAAACGCAATATTAAGAAAGTAGAATGATTCTATTTTCCTCTGACCTCAATGATTTGGACAATTATGATTCGTTTATTCATGTTTCCTGATTCGTTTATTCATGTTTCGTTTATTCATGTACCGCCTTACTTTCTCCATTTGTTCGAGATATTGCCCATGCTGTATACAACAATAAATAAATAAATGTCATTCTGGATTATTTTCTACTTTTCTATTTAAAAAATCTCTCTGTCTGCGTCATCCCCACGTTATAAAAAAAAAATGCCAGGAGGTTGAAGCATAAATGGTTAAAACTGTCAAGCCCCAGAATACTAATGACCCCCTAGAAATCCCCTCCTCCACCTTCAATCCGCCCTCAACTAGAAAAATTAGATATTGAAATAATTAGAAGACAACCGGATGCCCCAGGATCAACTGAACCATTGTTAAATGCCTCGTGCACTGGTATCGTGGGGTACCTGATTGCCGCCCTGACGGTGACAAGGCCACAGACCCACGGGCTGATGCAAGTCTTCCGGCTTTCCAGACCAGTCTATACACACGTCTTTATCAAGCTGTCGTATCTGTATTGACAATTTTGAACAAATAATTTAGCCAAATCGTAACGACAGGCAATTTTAAGTTTCCCTTTTCCTTTCATCCTAAACGAATATTTCGGGCGGTCGAACAGGTCTCCTATCGTGTGACACGGGTAGATAAAAAGCTTTCGACGAGAGATTGTGGTGTTTACATTACAGGTGTGAGTGGGAGTTAGTCAAAACAAAAGTTAGAAAACGAGCACAAAACGTGATTTTTCAAATTGAAGCAATTGTGGGCATTTCATTGATTTCAATGTCGTTTCCATTTTTGTGATTTTTGTGATAACAAAAAATGTTTTATAGAAAAACCTAACGAGTTTGATAGGAAATTCTATAGAAAAATTTCGCGACTTATCTGCGCTCTTTTCTCAATAGAAATGTTCAATGGAAAATATTCTGTATAAAAAATCAATAGAATTTCATTTTTCATTTTTCTATAAAACTTATTCTACTGAAATATTTTCTGTAGAAAATGTTTCGATAGAAACAAGTGGGAAACTGCTCTTGTCTCCATAAGGTACAGTTATTTTTGCTAATAAGTTAGCAAAAGGGTTCCGAATGGTCATTTTGCACATCATTTTCTTCTATGGTATATAATTCATTATTCAATTTATGTTATTAAATTTAATGAGATTTATTTTTGAAGAATTGCGTCAGATGTTCAACTTAGCTGAATGTTATCATTATCATTCTTCTTATTATCCCTTTCTTTCATACAACCGATTGTCTTTATTGCGTTCCTATCACTCCCCTCAGCCCTTTGTTGCTTCACGGGCTGACATTCTCGTCCTAACTACGTGGCATTTACTTCAGGAGCTATATTTCCTATTCACGTTTCGGTGTTTATATTTTCGTTCAACGGTTTCCTAGTTATTGAAATTGGCTTTTTTATCGACTCTGCATTTCACAGGTTTGTCGTCTATATAAGCCACGTTTAGGCCGTTGTTGTCGATTATTATTAATATATGATGGAAAATTCGGAATTTGCAAAAATCATCGTAAAAATAAAATCAACAGATATAGCTGTCGTAATTATCGTTCAACTTCGACAGTGTGGCATTGAAACTAATATTTTAAGCTATAATTGAATTCATTTGAAGCATGATATCTCAAGATCCCCGGAATTCCGATTTTCAAAAAATACAAAAATTTTGCAAATTTTTATATAAATCAAAACAACGATTATTGCTATCGCCTTCATCTTCGAATTCGGTCAAAAAGGCAGCCAGACTAATTTTTTAACCCACCATTCAATGGATTCAGAACTTTTTTTAGTTTTCGTGGGGCAACCGATTTTTAGAAAAATTTAAAAATTGAAAAAATTATTGGATCAATTAAATTTTAATTAATGTTGATGGATAGGGCTCAATGATACCTACATTTGAGAAAGAGAAATGATATAATTCCATCGATTCATTAACGAGCAATTTAAGAAATCCTTTGACCAAAAAATCTGAAACTTAAATTTGAACGATTTCAAAGTTTCCATTAGATAGAAAAAATTGTATAGAAACATGAAATTCTACTAAATTCCCTACAAAATAGTTTCTATTGAACACTTTCTTTCAATAAAATCGACCAAAATTATTCGAATTCTAAATAGAATTTCAACAGAAATCCAACAGAATTTTCTGCAAAACTTGCAAAGTTTTTCTTCAAAATATTTTCTTGCATCAACCATAAACTTCTCTGACAACTATAACCCTCAGAGAACTACACTCCCAATTTCCACAACTGCTTCAACCCAGCAAATTAAAAAACAACAAACAAAACGCAAAGTGCATTCTAAAAACCCCCTCTAACGAGTCTCTATCCTCATATTGTACCTGATTGCCGCCCTGTCGATGGCAGGGATAAAGGCCAGCCGGTTTATGCAAGTCATTCTTGCGAGCAGGCGAATCCAGACAGGTGTTTCCGCCCTCCCCGAGGTTACGTACCTGTCATTATCGTTAGTGTTCATAAAACTAGTTCACATAAAGTATTTCCACAATAAATATGGTTCATAAACAATGAATAAATAATCGTCTTCTCCTCCGCATCCGCCCCTGAAAAATCATTGCAATAAAAAAAAAATGCAGGCACTGCCACGAGGGAGGTGTTACTCTATCCATATTTGATATCAAACTCGTTTTTCAATCGTTTCGCACAACTGGCAGATTTCATTTTTTTTTCATTGATAGACACTATCCCTGCGTGCATGCATTTTGATTTTATCTAACGAACGTGTGACAAATTGATAGTGACACCAACACGGGAATATTCTGAGTACCGACGCACACAATTCGCTGCAAAAGTGCGGTCAGCAAAAGTCTCGATATTATTCGAGCTATTGGAAAAAGGGGATGAGTAAATTTTTTTCCAGCCCACGCAGCACTTTTGAGGATCAACTCCAGGAGTGACTACTCTCTTTTCGTCGACTCGATATCGGCGGTGGCCCTTGTCTGGTTCCTCTGTGAATATAAAAACCTCATGATTCATGGTACGTGAATTCAACGACGATAAAGTTCCTCCCCAGCCGGAAATGGGTACGGATGGGGCTGAATTAGCTGTGTAGAGAAAAAATGAGGGAATTGTTGGAAAAAAAAAATGAAAAAAATTATGAAGGATTAAATTAATACGACGCAGAGGCTTTCATCTGCAGATGGAGATTATTAATGAGGGGGAGAGAGAAAAATTCAATATGCATCCAACATTGGCACTGATGAGAGAGGGGAATTCATAAAAGGCACTTTGATTAGAGTCTCTCGACGGGGCGAATTCGTTTTGCGGTATCTCGTGGAAAAGGCAATCAATTAATTCTATTACCAATCACCTGCATCGGATAATGGATTTTTTGGTTTTGGGGGGGGGGAGGGGGACATGGAAATTGGATGGCTGGACTCCGGGAATATGATTATTTATTCGCGAGCGGATGTAATGTGATTCGGTCATTCTATTCTTTTTTTTTTATTGGAATCGGTGTGGAATCTATGGGATTGATGAATATTAAGAAGCCGATGGATGATGAGAAAATTATTTTTCAACAGTGTTAAAAACGCTTCATTTTTTACCAATTTTTACAATTGAACGACGAGAAATTACTCAAATCGTATGAATTTTTACTATGTTAAATTGTAATTTTCTCTTACGATTTTAAACATTAGTTTATACTCTCGCGCTTTCTACATTTCACTCGAGGAAATAGCGGAAATTACTACGTTGACTAGTAAAAACTCCAGCGGACGGCGAGAGCGTCGATTGTTTTCAATTCTTGGAATCTCCTCCCTCCGTCGACCACGCAATGCCCCGGGTGGCGGATTCTATAATTCTAAAAAATTCAATCCTTCCTACCCCCCCTCCTCTTTTTCAGAATGAATATACGTGGAGCAAAATTATGGATAATAATTTTCAAGGATGATATGGAAGATTAAAGATGGTTTTTCACTTTGGTTATTCAAAAAATCCCCCTCTCCCTCGTCCTCTTCTGCGAATATTCATTTTGAAAGGGGGAGAGAATATTTTTTTAACCGACGAATTAAAAATTCATGTTTATCCTCCTAAATTTTACTCGTGTCAATTGGAAATTCAACTTTTATGCTACCATTTTGTACTCTACCGACTCTCAATTTTCACTATGTTCAACAGCAATTTTTCCAACAGACTCCATCATATTTTAATTTTGTCAGCCGTATTTTTTCATCCAACACGTTGTAGTTTTTCATTTATTCTCAAAATTACTATGTTAAATAATAAATTTTCGAGTGCGGCGGGTATATTCCTGCATTCTATTTCTCCTATTAAAAATGACTATGTTCCCAGAGGAAAAAATAATTTCATATTCTTCCCGTGTAGATTGAAATTGTGGACACAGAGAGAAAAAAAGAAGTTTCCAGGTTTTAACAAAAAATTCAGAATTTCAGCAAAATTTCACCAAAAATTTCAGAATGTTGAAAATATGTAAATCTTCAAGCGAAACAGTAAAATCGTTCCAGTTGATTTCAACTATTGGCCAGTTTTCAATGAATATCTCGAAATCTAAGGGAGATGGCAAAATTTTTGTTAAAACATTTTGTGTAGCTCTTAATTTGCTCTACACAAAAGGTCGTTACGAAAATTTCGTTATCTTCCTTAAATTCGGAGATATTCCTCGAAAACTGAGCTAAGGACTAAGTCGACTTAAACCGTTTTACCGCTTCGCTACTGAATTGTTAAAATTAACTTGAATTTTCATAACATTTTTGTTTTTGAATCAAGAACATTCAAGGCTTTCATTATTTTCCTGTTCTGAAATTCATGTACGCATGCTTCAAGTGCAATATTAAATGATTAAATATTTAAATATTCAGAATTAAATATTTAGAAATCATTTATCATTTACTTATAAACGAATTTTGATATTGACGCAGATAACGTCTTTTACAAAAATCCTTGAAAAACCTGGAAATCTCCCAAACGGGACATAACTAGAATAATTCAGTCGTCGTGCCCGGAATATTCAGGTCAAAATATTCGACTCGAGGCTAAAAAATCCCAAAACTGGATCTCTCCAAACCGCAGTTGAAAAGAAAAACCCTCAATCCGGAAAAGGTTTCGTGCCGGAGGCAGTGGTCATCGTTACCCACCCCGGAATTATTCACGTCACCTCATCCGCGGATCCGGAGGTCAGAACAACCATACCTTAACCACCCTTCTGCACTCTTCCCAACTATAAATTCCCCGTGAGACCCACCTAATTTACCGTGCCCCGAGAGTACAAATCCGACCAAAAAAGGGAGTAATTCAAAACCGAAAAGAAACACCGGTGGAAGAGAATTACCAGAGGCAGAGGACCGGCCGAGAGTGGGTAGTTCCGGAGCGCCTGAGATACAGGAAAAACATAAGTTCAGGCGAGTAGTACTGAATTTTCACTCCCCTTTCGCCTGGTGCCCATCGCATTTCTGGTATGCCCACACTCCCCAAATTACTGTACTTCCGCTGACTAGGCATTTCATCAAATACCCCTGCAACAGTGGTGCCCGAAGTTTTTTCCTCATTGAAAAATTGTAAGTAATTTTTCCCCGTCAATTTTTCCTCCGCGATTTTTTCCATTGAAAATGTTTTCCCCTCTCTAATTTTTTCGATGTAGAATTTCTCCGGAGGTTTTTTCTCCGTTCGAAAATTCTCGGAAAGTTTTTCCCGTCAATTTTTCCACAGCGAATTTTTTTTTTGGAAATGTTTGCCTCTCGCTTATTTTTCTCATGTAGAATGTTTTACAGTTTTTTGTCCCGGAAATTTTTTCTCCGTCAATTTTTCCTCGGCGAATTTTTCCATTAAACCTTTTTGCCCCTCTCTAATTTTTTCGATGTTGAATTCCTCCAGAACTTTTTTCCCCGTTGAAAAATTCGCGATAATTTTTCCCCGTAAATTTTCCCACGGAGAATTTTTCTTTTGGAAATTTTTGTCTCTCACTAATTTTTCTCATATAGAATATTTTCCAGTTTTTTTTTCAAAGTTTTGCGCCCCGTTGAAAAATTCCGGGAAAGTTTTTTCCCGTCCATTTTTACTCGGCGAATTTTTCCCTTTGAAATTAATTTTTTCCATGTGGAATTTTGCTCAGTGTTTTTTTTTTAGGAAATAATAATTGAATTTTTTTTCTCTTAGAAGAAAAAAAAATGTTAATAACAACAATTAATTAATTTGTTGTTTATTGGCCAATATCGATCCGTAAATTTTTAATTCAATGCGAATTAATTCTTAATTAGATCAGTTAAATTGTGTTACACGGAGAGAAACATTCAGTAAAAATTACGGAACAATTTACGTAATCCCCAATGGGGAATCGTTTTCTGGCAATTTTTGTAGGAATGGATGAGAAGAAATCTGAAACGTTCAGTGAATTTTCAGGTTCATCACCGAACAAAGTACGAAATTGTCACGTAATCTTTCCCGAAGAAGTAAAATCTTACAGAAACTAAGGAGGCCACAATGGCTCAATTGGCAGAGCACCTGTCCAGGAAGAAGAAGATGTGGGATCATACCCCACTTGTGTTCGAGCCCGTGTGCCTCCGAATTTTTTAATTTGTGCATTGATAATTATTCAATTATTTCCCTCATATAGAGGTCCGGAAAGTCGATGGATAGCATATAGCATCCCGCTTTCCAAGTAATTTATGCCTTAAAAACATCTAAGGTTGACCGAGTAGAATAGCCCAAGGGATAATATAAATCTTACAGAAACTTGTCGACTATTATGCCTCGAAAATAAAAAATTCTTGAACGTTCAACAATTTTTATGAAGCTGGTGAGTTATTTCTACGTTCCGTTCCGTAAAATTTCTCAATCGTTGGAGAAAAATTACGGAACGACTTGTTGTCCCTACAGCAGTGAGTGATCAGACGGCTGGTTAATTTTTACGGAACAAATCGTAGAATTTACGTCACGATTCGTACGATTTCAGTTCCGACTCACACTTTTTATTGAATTTTACTTCGCTTGCGGATTACGTTTCGAAATGTAATTTTTACATTTTTTTCTGATAATTTTCATTGAATTTTACCGAAAAATTCACCATTTGTCTCGCATTTTTAGCCTCGACAAATATTCAAAAAGACCAAGAATTGAATTCCGCTCCACGATTATTTGATTTGATGATTTGATTTGATGCTTTCCGCCACTTTTTCCTGCATGCACTTTCCCTAGACTACAGTACTTCCGTTGGCTAAATATTCCATCAAATATCCCTGCAACAGTTCAATCTTCCCAATTCACATGAGAGTATCCCCCCCCCCCCCCCCNTGAGAGTATCCCCCCCCCCCCCAAAGCAAGCATAACCGGCAAAAACTAATGAAACCCGGCAAATACCTTAATTAATTGATCGCTAAAATTCACTTTGGCAGAACGAACTGACCAACGATACTCGTCAATATTGGATTGCCTCCCCGGAATAAATATTCCTAATTGAAAAAACATAGCGCAGCATCCGGGCGACCGCGCCGAGGCTAATGAAACGTTAAAATTATCAATTATCAATCAGTATAAATGGAGCCTTCTCCACTTAATGTGTTTCGCATGAATAGTTCATACACGCGTCCATTGTCATTTAACGCCCCTCGGCAGTAACTCTCTTCCCTTTCCTCCCTTTCACCCTTGCCATCATTTTCTGAACAACAGGAAAGCCTCTGCGCCGTAGTAAATCGACACTCTGATGAATCAAAGCGTCTAAGGACGTCATAAACTCCCCATTTTGTTGGCTCATTTCGTCGTAATTTCCCTCGGCTGCATCCTCTAGAGGTATTCTTTCCTGAAACAGACTACACTGAGAGGAAAAACGATCTGATATCACAAAGAAGCATTTTGAGTTTAGAACAAAGGGTAGATATTAGATCGATTCATAATAGATTTCAGTCCGGAGATTGGGGAGCCCCTGGTGCTCTTGGGGATGAAGCGGTGCAATCTTTCCGATTTCACGTGATTATAGCGTTGAGCTCAGTGACTAGAGTGACGGCGCGCCGTCGCGCGCCTCTACGACGTGAGGATAGACAAATGAGTTGATGGACTGTCGGGGGATATTTGCGATATTCGATTCGATATTTGTGTGCTCTCGGGGATGAAACGGTGCAATCTTTCTGAGAAGCCCTTCACTCCATGATTGAGTCACACCATGACCTTGAAATGAAGTCTATTTCACGTGATTACGGCGTTGCGTTCAGTGACTAGACTGACGGCGCGCTCTCGCGTGCCTCTGCGACGTGAGAATAGACAAATGAGTTGATAGACTCAGTCGGAAAATATTTACGATATTCTATTTGATAATTGTGTGACATAACTTTCGAAAAATGGCGTCGTGACGTGGGTGTGCCTTTTAAATACGGAATTTCAATAATTTCAAGTATCACGTAACATGATTTCATGATTATAGTTGACTTCAAATGATTTCATCAATTCGAAATCGTGATTTCAGAGAAATTGAAGCTCTTAGAATCATGATGAGTAGTTTGATAAATAATAGAGTTTAAACAATTAAACAGTTTAAACAACAATAAAGTTTTTATAAACAATTTTTGAACATTATATTAGAAAACTAAAATTACTCACACTCTCAGCACTTTTATCGCCTCCCGAATGTTTAGTTCCGTGGGCGTCTTATAAGATACCTATGGCCTCGATCATTTTTCAACGGGAAAAGTGTGATTATAAGGATCAAACGGAGTTGAGGGTCAAACGGGAGGGACGAACGAAGTGATCATAAGGGTCAAATGACCTTAAGGGTCAAGAGTTCAAACGTGAGAGTCAAGTGAAGTAATCAGAAAGGTTAAACGATCCCAAGGGTCACCTCTTTTCTTCGACGCTATAATCATTAAAATGATGACGCAGAATCATGTTAATAGAATAAAGCCTAATTAAAATTCAATTAATTTACGTACTTTCAATAATTTGTACTTCAGCTATCCAGAAGTGATTATTCTCAAGTCCCCCAACAATTCCCCAACATCAGCTGCCATTCTATCACGTGGGATTATGTTTAGAGAGAAAAAGGAACGCGGGCTATACGCATTCAAAACATTAAACTCGCATAAATTGATTACTTATCAATATCAATTCAGTAAAAATGAATATTCCATAGAATTCAGGCGCATCGAGCGAGGTATCTTATTTCAAACCGCTGATTGAACCCTATTTTTCTTCTCTCTATAAGCGCACGTAGTGGGGGTATACGGATTCCCGGAATTCCACTCTCGTTCTGTCCCTACGGTATCTTATATAAAGCCTGGACTGTACATGACTGACTCGTTTTAAGAATTCCAAGATTTATCAGTCGAAATTTAAGGTTTGATCTTCCAACATTGAACGCTCGAAGAACTATCAACAATTTTTCTGATATCAAGTCGTCTGTCCTCTCAATGCCAGCAAGAATAAGAATGAAAGAGGTATCCCTACCTCGCCAGAAGCCACCGCCTCGCCGGGAATGAAGAGCTCGGGATAAACATTGTCGAGGTACCATTTGAAGGATTTGCATCCCAGTTGTTTCCTCAACGCCTGCCGTTCCGACACATCTCCGTAATCTCCCTGAAATAAAAAAATGACTGGAATTCGTACGTCTAGGCGCAATTGAGACGCTCACGAGTGTGTGAGCAAGTGGGAGAAAAGGAGGAATGTCAGAGGAGTGAATCGGGGAGGGATGTATGAAGTGGCTGGGATGAAAGGAGTGCAGTCAAGAGACGCCAGTAGTGTAGGATAAAGTGTATACTCACCTTGTCGTGACCTATTCGCTGGTAGTAGTACTTGGCGTACTCGTCCAGCCACACCTCGCTCAGCCTTATGCTATTCCTCTTGAGCACGTTTACGCCGGTTCGCCACTTGTAGGGTGAGCGTTTTCTAAAGATGTGACCCACGTGCGAGCACGGAACTATCTCCAGAGTACCTTTGAACATGCAAACGGCATTAAACTTGAATTTTTTTCTCACTTTTCGGTTCGCATGATTAATGGGGATTTTTTTCAATCGAGGGATTTCATCTGAGGATACGTCCAGAGACAGCGCATTTGAGGAAAATGAAGGATTTATTTTATTTGGGCGAGGGATTATCGCAGGTTCATAAATTTATTCTCTTCGCTATCTGAATAAGCATTTTATTTCCAAGTGATGAGGCGTTTATTGAGGTTTAGAAAAGATTCACTGGTGGGAAATGACTTCTGATGTTTCAAATGAAAAGTCGGAAATTTCGATTTGAGGTGAAGTTAAATGCAGTTGATTCCTGAATTTCAGAGAAAATTATTATAGTGGTTATTTAGATGGGAATAACTATTTTATTTGCGGCAAATGGAGTTTATTGGATTCAAATAAACTAGTCCTCTGGGTGTACTCGAGTGAAATAGTGAGGGATGAAGTGTTTCACCTTTTTCGTGATTAAATAAAAACATAATGGTTTATTAGACTTTTACTGGAATATGTCCACATTGAGAGAGAAAAAAGCTTTCAGTCAAGTACATGAGTATTTTTTCTTAAAGGTTATTCAACGCGGAAAAAATAACAATTTGAAGAGTAAAATAAATAGATTCACAAATATAATCTATTGACAATGCAATTGGGAAATTTATTTTAATTGAAATGCCAATAATTGCTCAACATGAGGAACTCGTTTCTGTTAAATTTGCAAGTGTTTATTTCTATTTAAAAAAACATATATTTGCTTCAAATTAAGTTAATTAATTCAAGTGAACTTTTCACCCTCTGGGTGAAAAAATGTCGCATTGAGAGAAAATAAAACTCTTAATTGACAACATGAGTAATTTTTTCTCTCAGAGTTTATTCACTGCTCAAGAAAATAAAAATCTGAAAAGTGAAATTGATAGATTAACAAACATAGGTAACAGTGAATTAAATTGAATTCCATACCACCGCACATCCACGTCTTGAATGACAATTCAAGATTCTCGCCGCCCCAAATGTCAAAACCGCTGTCATAAGTTCCAAGACGCTCGAAGAACTTTCGATCAATTGAGAATAAACCGCCCGCCATTGTCGGCGACCAGACCGGCTCAGCAGAGTTTTTGTGACGTTTTTTTTCACGTTCTGGTACTGCGTGCCAGTTAAACTGATGGACGTAAGGTGCATTTATTATTCACAAGTTGCCGGTATTTTTTTATCGCAATTTATTATCAACATTTCAAGAGTAATTGCAGGAAGTTTAGTTCAGGCTCTAATTATTCATTAAAGTGGATGGATAATTTTCTCGACGGCTCAAGTGTGAGGGGGGAAAATTGAATACCTGGAGATTCCAATCGAAGCCACCGACGTTGACGCCACCGGAGTCCCGAAAGTTGTACTCAAGAGTGGTATCGTCGATGACATCGATGACGGGACAAACAACTGTGGTGGAGTCACGGGCTATTCTGTCGAGCAGTGGCTCTAGCCAGCCCTCGGTGCACTCACAGTGACTGTCCAAGTAAGTCAGTACTGGAGCTTTTGCAGCTGCTGCACCCAGGAGTCGAGCACGAATCAAACCCTCTCGTTTGGCTGCTCTTATTATCCGGACTTTTGGGTAGTTCATCATGTAGTCCAGTAACTGACGCTTCAAATGAGCTGAAATATTCGAAAGAAATTATTCCAAGTGCGTCCATAATTAGTGAATATCGATAGTTGCACTGAATTGGAAGAATGAGGAGTTGAGAAAATCTCTCTATATTATAAGAATCCAAGTCGACTTCTGGTGATGAAAATTTGGTACTTGAAATTAAGACTCAAAAATTAAGGGTTGTTAGGGTCAAAATACGGGTCATGAGGATTAGAATGAGGATCAAAATGAGGTTCATGAGGATCAAAATAAGGGTCGTGAGGGTCAGAATAAGGGTCGCAAGGGCTAGAACGAGGGTCACGAGTTAGAATAAGGGCCCAAATAAGGGTAAAAAGTGTCAGATTAAGGGTCTAAATAAGGATCGTGAGGGTTATAATGAGCGTCAGATTAAGAATCGAAATAACGATCACAAGGATCAGATTGAAGATCACAAAGGTCAGATTAAGGGTCCAAATAAGGGTCATCGGAGTCAGGAACTAAGGGTCACAAGGGTCAAAATGAGGGGCTCTATATATATGTTATAAAAATTCAAATCGACTTTTGGTGATAAAAATTTGGAACTCGAGATTAGGACTCCAAAATAAAGGGTTGCAAGGGTCAAAATAAGGATCATGAGGTTTAAAATAGGGTCATGAGGATTAGAATAAGGATCACGAGGATCAAAATAAGGCTCATGAAAATCAAAAGAGGGTCATGAGGGTCAGAATAAGGGTCGCAAGGATCAGAACAAGGGTCACGAGAGTCAGAACAAGGGCCCAAATAAGGGTTACAGGGCGCAGATTAGGAATCATATGGGTCGGATAAAAGGACCAAATAAGGGTAACAAGGGTCAGATTAAGGATCACAAATGTCAGATTAAGGGTCCAAATAAGGGTCATGAAGGTCAGCACCTAAGGGTCACAAGGGTAAAAATGAGTGGCTCTATATATATGTTATAAAAATTCAAATCGACTTCTGATGAAGAAAATTTGGTACTCGAAATTGAGACTCCAAAATTAAGGTTCAGAAATGAAGGATCACGAGGGTCAGATTAAGGGTCACAATGGTCAGAATAAGGACCATGGGGGTTGACGGGCGAAGCGAGCAGGGGCCGTAGTCCCCCTAGTCTTCATATAAAATAGCGCCACGCCGGTCACAAACAGGGTGGTGATGCCTTTTTTAATTACAGTCAAGGCTTTATATAAGATACCTCTCTATAAGATACCTCGAGCTTCGAGCGCTTGAGGCCTACCCCTACTCTTAGCACTTTTATCGCCTCCCGAATGTTTAGTTCCGTGGGCCTCTTATAAGATACCTATGGCCTCGATCATTTTTCAACGGGAAAAGAGTGATTATAAGGATCGAACGCAGTTGAGGGTCAAACGGGAGGGACAAACGAAGTGATCGTAAGGGTCAAATGACCTTAAGGGTCAAGAGTTCAAACGTAAGAGTCAAGTAAAGTAATCAGAAGGGTTAAACGATCCCAAGGGTCACCTCTTTTCTTCGGCGCTATAATTATTAAAATGACGACGTAAAATTATCTTAATAGAATAAAGCCTAATTAAAATTCAATTAATTTACGTACTTTCAATAATTTGTACTTCAGCTGTCCAGAAGTGATTATTCGCAAGTCCCCCAAAATCCCCGAACATCAGCTGCCATTCTATCACGCGGGGTTGTGTTTAGAGAGAAAAGGGAGAGAAGTTCCAGATTTCAGTAATTTTTTCTCAAATCTACTACCAATTGTATTCGACTTGAGTTACATTTTCTCTTATGTTAAAGCAATTTAGGTTCTGGAATTTAGAATTTTGTGATTCTCACTATTTTCTCCGTGAATATAAAATAGTCTTGATGAAGAGGGATTTCACTCAAAGAATTCATTCCTTAAATGACACCTATAAGAATTAGCATAATGAGACGTCCCATCTGAGCACTCCAGCATCATTTCGCCCTGAGGATCACCAGAGGTTAGGATTAACATAGTAGAAACTCCGAAGTAACGATTGGAGCTTCGCAATTAGCCTGCTGGCTAGTGATTTATTTCAACAAATGGCTTTATGAGGCACCTCTCCGCTAAACTCTCGGCTAATCTTAAGCCCCTCAGTGTCCCCAGGATTACTCAGTACATGCAGTATAGAGGTGGATTTAACCGGATCAATTCGTGCCTGTATCTTTGTTAACAGATCCGACCCACAAACTTGATTAATTACTAATTGCATATAGTGCATAACGAACTTGTCTTGGCCGATGTTGTTTTGATCTGCTTCCTGGGGAATTCACTAGTTATAAAGTCAAAATTCATGCATAAATCTGATAGAAATACCCCGGAACTTCTAAAAAACAAACTGTCGAATTTTCAAGAAGTCCGGAAACATAGATAAACGATTGATAATAGAATAATTCTACCTTCTTAATTTTGCGTTTACTAAGGTTTTCTTCGAACAAAGCTGATTATAATTAATATCTAGAATTATGAGATTATCTCCCATTTTTGACGTTAAGGATAGTAGAATCTGAATGCAATAAAGTGAAAATGATGATCGATTTTTTAACTTTGAACAAATAATATTAATATCCAAATACAACATTTTTTATATGAACAAAAAGAAGCTGAACTCAATATTCCAAATGAAGTTTTAATTTTTAATTTGGCGCGGAAAACACGAAATGACAATATTCTAAGCACGGAATTATATTGATGGGATTGACAACAGATTAATTGAATTACCGTGTGAACTAACTAAAAATTGATAACAGTGTGGGCACGCACTTTTACCAGAGTATCAATAAACATTGAATTCCAGAAATTCACACTCTAAAGTGTGTTCTAGAAGGAATTGAATTGTAATTATGATTAAAATCTTATTCAGTGAGCATAGGAATTAGAACATGAGCAAATGATGTATTGTAATATGACAATTTTATAGCTGATAAATTGGGACACAAGATTCTCATATGATTATAACCAATTATTGAAAAAAAGAAAATCAAATCTGACAGGAAAAGGGCATAAACATTTAAAATTTGCATGAAGCAAAGGAAGCTTCTCCCCTAAAAATAAGGCGATACATCAGCGCGCTTGACCCGTCTAGTTCCTCCCAAGAACACAGCATTCCCATCAGCCATTTGTTCTCCCCAATCCTCTCCATCAACCCACCCCCTCCCCACCCCAATCGCCTAATCCAAAATTATGACACACCAAGACCACTGAATTCTTCGCATCCTCCCCCTGAAGTACATCACCCTGACAGTACAATAGACCAGAATGGCGTGATACCACGCATCCTCAGATACAGCCCTGATAATGGTACCAAGTCACGTGGGTCATTCTGAAAAGCCCAAAGCTCACCCGCCATTTAGTACAGTCTAAGTATGTTTATGGCTAACACCTTCCGGCCAGTTGGCTCTTATCTCCACCCAACTTCCGTTGGTAAGCAGAAAGGAAGTGCCAAAAGCATCGCTGTATCCAAGTCATGTACAGACTTCTCTCTCGTTCAAAGCCATCACAGACGTACCACATTCGTGATACCTTCACTCTGTTTAATCCTCTCGCATATCCTTTGCTTTATTGTTCACCACGTTATAACCCTGCTTTCTTTTTCTCTCCTCATTTGCAGCCTTACCCCCGGGTCCCTGGGGGTTGTAAAACTCAGGGCAATTACGTCACCCCCCGGTTATCCCGACCCATCCAGTTACGACGCATTAAATTTAACGGCGTGACGGACAATGCATGATAAAGGACGAAAGGAGGTGGAAAAGGGGATGAGGTGGCGGGTGGAGTATGCGGAAATGGGTGCATTACTCACGCATGTCGGAGTAATCATCGACCAGGATGATCTCCTGGATGAGGTGCTCGGGCGACCGGTCCAGGACTGAGTGAACCGTCCTCAGGAGCACCGACCAGGCCTCGTTGTGGAAGCAGATTATCACGGCTGTGGGCGGCAGGTTATCCAGGTATCTGCCGGGCTCTTTACACCTGCAAGAATATTTAAGGAGAGTTGGATTTAGTGGAGACAGCTTGCTATTATGGGGGAAGGAAAGGGTGGATGGGGTTCAGAGGTCCCACTATGTAATAGTCAACGGAGTTTGACTGACTTCTGTCAATTTTGAGGAACGAATTGGAATTTTATTTACAGTTGATTGATTTTTCCATGAAATTTTGAATTTTCATTTTTTATCAATTTTTTTAGCCGTAGACAGTGAATTTTCAAGTGAAAAAAACATTCACTGCCAAATTCCGTTGAATTTTCAGGAAATTATTTCAAAATTTATGGAATTTCAGGAGTTTTTAAAGAAATTGTTGGAATTTCCTCATTTTTTATCAACTTTCCCGGAATAATTGAATTGAAATTCAGTTCCCACGTATTTTTCCATGAAATTATGATTTTTTTAGAGGCAGGCAGACGGAAATTCCACAATTTACATGAATTTTCTAGTAAAAATGAATATTCACTGCCAAATTCCCTTCCATTTTCTGGGAATTCCTTTAAAATTGTGGGAATTCCTGAAATTTTTGAAGAAATTTCCTGAAAATTCTGAACTTTCTCTGAAATTTTCTCATTTTTTATTAACTTTCCCATAATTGAACTGAAATTCACAGTTCCCATGTATTTTTCCATAAAATTATGAATTGTTTTTAGCAGTGGGCAAACGAAAATTCTACCATTTACCTGAATTTTCCAGTAAAAATGAATATCCACTGCCAAATTCCCATGAAATTCTCTTAAACTTTCAAGAAATTCCTTTAAAATTGTGAAAATTCAACAAATTTTTGAAGCAATTCCCTGAAAATTCTGAAATTTCTCTGAAATTTTCGCATTTTTTATTAACTTCCCCATAATTAAACTGAAAGTCACAGTTCCCACATATTTTTACATGAAATTATGAATGTTTTAGCAGTGGGCAGACGAAAATTCCACAATTTAGATGAATTTACCAGTAAAAATGAATATTTACTGCCAAATTCCTTTCAATTTTCAGTTAATTCCTTTAAAATTCTTGGAATTCCAGAAATTTTTGAAGAAATTCCCTTAAAATTTTGAAATTTTTCTGAAATTTCCTCATTTTTCATCAATTTTCCAGAATTAAACTGAAATTCACAGTATTTTCCGTGAAATCATGAAATTCATAATTGAATTCATAATTGAAATTATGAATTATGAATTTCATGATTTCATGGAAAATGATGAATGTCATGATTTCATGGACAATACTGTTTCCCACGTATTTTCCACGAAATTATGAATTTCCAATGACAAAATTCCTTGAAATTTCCGTGGAAATGTCACTCACTAGAAATTTCCCAGCCTCGTACCGGAAATTTCAGTGAAAAGTTGTTACCCGCGTGTTTCTGGATTTCAATACCACGTTGCGGGCAACCACAAACTTTATCTTTGCAATCCTCATTGTCAGCCATACCGACCATAATTGCGATGACTACAATTTCACGTCGTTCAGAACAACCAAACTACCCCCCACCCTCCGCGCGAAAGTCCTCTTACCCGAGTAAATAGATACTTATGAAAGTTAAGAGTTGAATGTTATCTATACGGTTCCTTGAATCGTTGAATAATTCATAATCTTTAAGGGTTGAGTCTGGTAGTTGAAACTACTTAATAAGTCATGAACTAATTCTCAGGGAATTGCAAAATGTAATTCATTCAGCAAGAAGTTCCCGGCCGAGGGGGACGTCGACGTTGATCGAACAATTCAGAGGGGAGAGCCGAGTGATTCCGATAGGACGGATTCCGGTGGAAAAGTAGCGTGAGGAGTTGGAAATGTTTAATCACGATGCAGCAAACCGGTGTACATCACTGGATATCGACTCGGGTCTTCAATACCCTCTATGGGTTTCGTCCCCTCTCTCATTGGCACCCGAAAACTCATAGGATATCTCATTCATTGTCGTGGAAGTGGATATCAGTGTTGAACGCCAATGGACTAGAAACGATTGGAGTTTCACCAGTTTAAGCAGCTAACGGGGAGAACGGGTCCTCGGACGGATTCTATCCGGGGTAATTCAATTGATTATTTGGAGAAAGGGGTATTTTCGGTGGCATAACATTTGTTTTAGCAATTGTTGATGATTGTTGATGATGAATACCGGGAATTCCTTGAAATTTTGATGATGTCTGAAGGGAGATATCGATTTCTTTTCTACTAAATTGGATACGTCCAGACGAGATAATGCGTCGTGATGAATTGGTTGGTGTTATTGTTTTTTTTGAATGAATTTTGAAAAACAGCTTTTTTGATGACCATTCATCGAATGGGAGATGTTACCTCAATGTGGGTTTAAATGACGAATCGAATTTATTCAATTATAAGAATTAAAGGTGCCATGCACTGTAAAAACTAGGGTCTTGAGGAGTTCTTAATTTAGAAGGTCAAAGACAAAAATATGATGATTTCAGTGATGATTACAATAACATTGGAATCCATCCATCACTAGTTTTGTATTTCATGACAATTTATTGGGTATTAGATGTCAATGAGGGAGGTTATGACAACCTGAGTGTAGAGACGCCACCGCAAGGTGGCGCAGTAGCCGAATACAAACACCAACGACTCTCCATCAGTATCTCTACATTTAGAAGAAAAGGCATAACTCGGAGGAATGTTTCAGAGGTCTATCTTGGAATTCTGATTTAAATGGATATAACTTAATTTTGTGGTTCAATAAGGCCTTATTCAGTTCCCCCCGGAAAAAAACACTATACAGAGAGAAAAGTTGGATAAAAATTAACTAATTCGCTCCACGATTACTCGACTTGTTTAGTAATTTTTTTCTAACAAGCTATATATTGAAACTTATCTCAAATTGCGATTTTTAAAAATCTCAAATTGAAATTTTCGGAACTCCACTTAAATAAAAATTTCAAATTGAGTTCCAATCTTAATTTGAAGCATTCAAAGGTATCAACTTGCGTCAACTTGAAAATCTTATGTTGAGACATTTGAAGCCGCAAAATAATGTATTATATTTTCGGGTGTAACTACTGCTTAAATTCGCAAAATAATATATTATATTTTTGGGTGGAACTACTGCTTATTCCTAAGGCTCCCATGTCATCCCCCATCCCAACCCCTGATTTACAGTAAACACCGAGACCCACCTTTCGCGTACTTTTTCGAACTTTACATCCCTATTATCTCGGGAATATCATGTAACCCGTCAATTTCCATACATTCTCTATTTTACTGCGGACCCCACGGGTTATAAAAGGCTAACCAGATTCACGTGGGAATATCACGACTGAAAAAAAAATGACCGGCTAGAAAAAAAATATTCGATACCGCTGGATATTCCTCGGTATCTGCTGCGTACATTTTGACAAGAGATCCTTTCCGAGCTTTTACCGGTGTTTTTTCATCCCCCTTTATCCAACACTCGGGAACTTCTGTTTCCCATCGTCATGTGGGAGAGGGGGGGGGGAGGAGGAGGAGGAGGGCAAGGAAAGCCTGATAAAGACGTTCTCTTTTATTTCCTCACTTCCATAGTGACACCGAGAAATCGGAGAACTCTGGAGTCTACTTGGGCTGCTCCGGCTGTTTAAAAAAACAACATTGAATCATTTTTTTTTCCACAAGCACTCTCTCAGAATTTTTTAACCTCTCAGCGACATCTGTTTTCAACGGCAATGGAGGAATATGGGGGCGAATAAAGTTGATGGTTCAATTAGTTGATTTTTTGGAGGGCCAAAAAATTCAACGGTTCGATTCAAGCTTGACTGGGTGTGTTGGCCCCTTTGGAGAATCGTAAAAGCCAGCTGGTCTTGGTGGAGATGATGCGGATCTCGTTTAACACCGCGATTCTCAGGGTGAAGTGGGCCATTCCCGTCCGCCGTGGCTGCATTTTATTTTCTCTCATTATTGACAAGAGGATAATTAAAGTTTTTACCTCGGGCATTATGGGCTGTTATATGTAGTGCCTATTATGATTATTTCGAGGTGAAAAGTTGGGGAAGTACTGGACGAATCGTGAATAGGTCATCTGTGCCGAAAAATGTCAAATTTACCCTGCATTCCATCAAAAATTATCTCAGTAAACGTGGGTGATCGCTCAATATTGCGTATAATTTTTCTGTAACGGAGAAGGATTTTACAATTTCAGAAGGATTTTACAGTTCGTACAGAAGAATAATTTTTGCATCCGTAGACGCGTTTATTTACCGAATGAATCGTAAAATATCCTCCACAAAGGGGTATTTTTTCATTGAATTACATTTCGCTCCGCAATTACCTTCCGTACAGTAAAATTTGCCACAATTTTCTAGGTAATTTTGATCCAACTTTCCTCTCCGCGTAGTGTTTTCTTGCGGAAAGGATTGAACAAGACCTTATTAAACCACAAAATTAAGTTAAATCCATTTAAATTGGAATTCCAAGATAGACCTCTTTCAATCATTCCCCCGAGTTATGCCTTTTCTTCTAGATGTAGAGATACAGATGGAGAGTCGTTGGTATTTGTATTCGGCTACTGCGCTACCTCGCGGTGGCGTCTCTATACTCAGCTTGTCATAACGTCCCTAATTGACATCTCATACCTAATAAATTTTCTTGAAATACAAAACTAGTGATGAGTGAATTTTAATATTATTGTAATCATGACTGAAAAATTCTCGTGATACTACGAATAGTTGGAATTTCACCCCTTGAATCCATCTGTCCCATGGGCTCAAACTCACGACCCTCAGATGTGTGCAAGAAGCAAACTCCTACCGGTGTCAGAAATTTTACTGTACAGGAGTATGGATTAAATGAGGGCACTTTGAGATCATTTCAGCAGCTGTTCATATGACAAGTCTCCGGATAAAGGGGTTATTTATTTCGTCTCACTTATCCGTTTACACACAGAGAAACATGAACGTAAATTACGTAAATTAAGTTGCGCTGACTGATACAATTCATAATATTTGAATCATTAAGCATGAGTGTCTGTTTGCAGACATTCTTCACATCTTCATCCCCTGGACG